AGTAAAATCTATGGCAGGGGGGGGCAGAGGGGTTTTTTAGTATTATTTTTTTTAAACAGAAAGATGGGCCAAGTCATTCAAAGGTGCATGTAAAATATGTTAAATACCTCTTTTTAAAAACTGTTAACAGCTAAATTCGTTAAAGTGGACTTATATTTGTTGTTGAGCTGCAAACGACAAGAATGAGATAAAGGAGTATGAAGTGGTGTCACAGAGTTCAAACAACAACAATAACAAAAAATACAATCGCTACGATAAACAACAATCGGTAAATGCATTTTTTTTGGTCATCATTCTAAAGGATCCCCAAAAATAAAATACATCATCTGATCGAGTGAAAAGCATCGACAAGAAATGCAATTGCAAAAATGAATGATTGTGGACAAATGTTAAAACACACACACGCCCCACACACACTTCATGCAGCCTTTTGTCACAAAATCACATTAACACAAAATTTGAACGATTGGGGCAAAATTCCCACGCCTGATTAAGGTATTTTAAAGCATTCTTAAAATTAATTTCTAAAAAAAAAAAAAAAAAAAGGCTTTCTTGCACTGTAGTATTTGTAGTCAGCTCTCGCTGATTTCTGTACTTTGTTTTTAAATGTCTTTAGTTTTCCAGTGCTATTATATTTTGTACTTTTAAGTTTTGTAGAGCACATTGAGTTATCTTGTGTAGAGAAATGCGCTATTTACACAAATCTGCTTTGCCTTACCTTGAACTGAAATTGCTGAACCGTTTTGGCCTTAACTATGTTCAATTTTTGGGGGAACATTCAGACAAGTGTCTACTCGCGCTGCCACAACTACAACAAACCCAAATGAACCAAAATATTCTCCGAGTAATACAGTGCACTTGTACACAAACCACATTTATTCACATAGAAAAATGGCCTTAATATGCATGTGAAGGCTTTTAGATACAATTTATGTGGGTGTACCTATCAGTGTATTCGGGTAAGTGCATTTCAGTGGCAAAGTTCCCCCAGCAAGATTACAAATTCAGTTCAAAAGAGACTTTTCATACAAATTAAGCACTTGACGGCTAATGGCGTATTCTAATGAGCAGCCCTGGACACAAGGGCTCACCTTGCGAGGATTCCATTTCATCACGTGCGCGCACACAAATTGTTTTACTTATGAATATTAATGTGCCCCCTAATTTGAGGCTGTTGTTAATGCTTGTCGCTCGGCGCTAGCTGGGCGAATCGGGTCCCGTTCCTGTTTCCAACCATG